AAGAACCCGTCCAGAGGACCTATACAATTTTTTTTTCCTTTTGATTTTTTACCTGGATTACTGAGATGCATCAGGACAGATAGCAGTATAAATTAACAGCCATACTTGAATATATCTAAACGGGGAATTCAAGATACACATATTTTTTGTAGCAATAGTAGACATGTTTGAAAAGGAGTAGGAAGATGTCAAAAACCTTATGAACTCCTACCAAAATAGCTACAAGATTCCTTGAAGGAATGCTAGTTTAATTTGAACACATTTCTATGGCTGACATTAATTTGAAAAGAGCTGTAAGTTAGCCGATCTGCAAGTGACCTCTTTTTAAAAAAGTAAAATGCCACAAAATTAAGTGTATTCCGTTGTATCTATCTGAGACTTTTAATGTGAATTATTAATCAAATTCCAAACAAAGTGGCGTCGAGGAGAAGAGGACATATGGCTGACAGCAGGTGTCTGCGAGAGTGGGAAGAGACGGAGGGAACGGGAGGAAGCTGTGAAACAGGGAAGTAGCAGCAGGGGAGGCAGAGGGCAGGGGAGTTTGGGATGGTCTAATAAATCGACTGAGTGACTCCACTCTTTTCTGCCCGTGGGACAAATCTAGTTGCGCTCACCGGCGCAGACAAGCATCAGGGAATTGTGGGTAATGAGAGATTATTTCCCCCTGTAGTGTTGGCTCATCATCATTGCCACCCCCCAACCTCTCCAGCCTCCCAGCACACACACACCCTCTCACACACACACAGTGCTTCGAAGCAGGTGGAATTACATATAAACAGACATGAGCTGGAAACATGGGCATACTTCCCACAGGCAAGTTGATTTAGTAAGTAAGGTCAAGCAGTGATGTGTTATTGTTTAAATCTGCAGCTGGCACCCTTTTCAAATTTCACACTCAGTGTGGCACAAACTCTTTTATGTGAGTGATATCCTCTTTTATCCACAGGTCCTTTTATTGCCTGGGGATGCCAATCTGTTTTCGGGAAAGAAACTACACGCATCAAACCAGAACCTTCTTTTGCCCCTTTCTTGTCTTTCTTGGTCCATGGTCTTTTTTTGCCCCGAGGCCTGGCTGCGACCACAAGAAGTAGGCTGGTGGTCCCAGCAGGGTCCGAGCCTCAGACAAACCATTAGCATGAGGGAATTAAAGTCATTACAGCTAGAAGGGCGATGGAGGACGAGTCCTCCGTTCGGCACATGAGGGATGATGTTTGTGAAGTTGGGTGAGGAAGGCAACAGACAAAAAACCAGAAGATTTATTAGAGAGACATCTGAGGAAGTTGTAGTTCATGTTCATCTATGCTGTTTGCAAATGTTTTGCTTAGAGGGGATATTTCCTGTGAATAAAAAAAGTTGTTCTCTCTCAGTTTTTTTTTTCTCAGATTCACTCATTTCATGCATGTTATCATTTCTGGGGAGAATTTTATTACAGTACTCATATAAACATATTGTGTATTTTGTCACTGATAATAAAAAAATAAATTTATAGTATAAAACATGCTACTGGAATGAACTCCCTTAATTTCACACATATTACGAATAGGAATCCACATGTCCTGCTTAAACAATGCTGTTATTACTTTAAATTTGCTGTGGATTTTCACATTTAACTTTTAAATCCATGTCTGCTTTGTTTGAAAGGAAACTTCTTTTCTGGAGTGACCCTGGGAAAAAAAAGGAGCTATTTCTGTCAAGTGAGTTTCTCCCCATCACGGTGACCCTGCCTTTGAGTCTCCATCATTTCATTAACTTCTGCCCGGCAGCCAGGGTGGCTCCTATTATCTTTCTACATGCAGAATGTGACTTAAAGCTTGCAGATGGACTGAATAATTATGTGCTTTTTAAGCAAGGTCAGCGTGCTGACTCTGAACCTCTCTGAGCACGAGCACAGACACGGACAAAAGATTTCTTTGTCCGCTGTTTGCGATTAAAAGGCTCATTTCATTTAAGAAAACGCACAAAAGTGTTGAGAACAGTAAGAAAAAAACTCAATCTGTGCAGACACCGAGCAATTAATTGAGTGTTTCCCCCCATTTACTTGATATTTACATTTTATTTCCATTAACGTACAAATGGCTGTACTTTGCTCAATAAAATGAAGTTTATCTGAAACTCATTTATAGTAAAGACTCATTTTTTTGTCTTAAAAAAGTCTGAAACTTTTTGTTTTTTAAATGCAATTTGTTTTCCTGAAACTCATCTGAAAATGATAATGATTGTGTGTGTTTGGAGAGGCATTATTTGTGCTTTAATTAAACTTTCAGGCACATATATGTAACCCATCACATCAAAATGAAGATTCACTCAAATTTGGTCAAAATGATGTCATATTTTCAGATTCCTGCTTTAAAAGCTACATTTTGATACTTAGATCATCCTGATTTCATTAGTAGATCCAGAGATATTTAATTTGTCTTGTTGGTTACAATAGTACATGAACATTTGGTCTATATCCTAATTTTATGTAATTTTAATGAGATTTTTTTATGTCATTTGAAAAAAGAAACCCCAAACAGTATTTGAATATTGAGATTCCCAGCTGGAAAGAAAGAAAAGCTTTGATAGCTCACAGGGAAAATCTCAACATTTTAAGGCGTTTTTCCTYAAAATCAGGTTTTTGGTTGCTAATGCTCAAAAAAGTAAAAAAAAATTTAGGATAATATTTCAGACAGTTCATTGAAATGATGTATTGATAACACATTTATTTGTTATATTTTGACAAAATGTAATTTTTGCAAGTGTTTTAATCAAAACACTATCTGCCTATTTCTCTACATACGACTTTCAGACTTAATCCTGGTTTCGACGTGATGGCTCACATGTCCTAATGTAGGGTTGAGGAATCCATGGGTAAATAYAGATTTAATATGTTAACACTTAAAGCGCTGTGAAAACCAGAGCTTRAACAGAGCAAGTCTGAGCATCATCTTCATTAAAACTGTCATTATCCTCATCCAGTCCCAGGCAGGTGTGTGTTTCTGTCGACCCTCAAGGGTAAAAGAGTCGTATAGCAACCCCAGAACGAAACTCATGATGCTGCACTCTGCCTAATGTGAGCTGTAATCACCAACAGCGCCTAGTGTTATTCCACACCTGCCTCATCAAGAGCTTAATTTAAGAAAAAGTGATTTCGTTTAGGATATACTTTAATTTTTTTCCCTAAAATGAAGTTTATTACAATGGTGTGGAACCCAATGAAGACTTTAATAAGGGGGTTGTTCTTTTACATCTAAGACCTAAATACAAGACAAAACTCTTGAGACTTCTTCCTTGTCTTCAAACGAATCCAGGCCTATAACCTGACTTTTAAGTCTCTGAAATGTTCCTTTGATTTGTTTTTGAAAGTTCGTAAAAGCATGAAGTTTCTTTAGATCTAAAACACTGGAGGTTCTTCTGTGTCTTTGAGGGGAAAAGTAAGTATTTCTCCTCTTTAATTCCCCTCTCCCCTGCTTTTTCCCTCTAAAGCATCAGCTAATAATCATCTCTGCGCCTCATTAAGGAGCAGAGGAGTGGAGGCGCTGGCTGCTCCAGATGTTCTGTGGAAACTCCCCCCTGAGGTCCAGAGGCTGGTGTCAGACAATTTCTGCGTATTTGTCCGTTGTAATGCGCTCGGTGAACTGTGCACAGGTTTGATACTTCCTGCGCTGTCCTGAGGCATCAGATCTGTGCGCTCCACTGCCCCACTCACCTGTAGACACTCAGGGATGAGACTTCCTCCATGAGCACACTAGATGGAGATGCAGACATGCTGGGACTGTATGTGTGACATATTTGGCATTGTATAGATTGTGCACAATGTTATTTTCAAGGTTTAACCAAAACTGCTGCAACTCTGTCAATGTTCATAATTTAAAACATATAAGGAACAGTAATTTAAGCTGTCAGCTGTCATTGCATTGTTCTGAATTACACACAAAAAATCTAAAACATGTTCGATAAACGAAACACAAAAACTCATTATGGCTTCTTATTTTACCCTTTATGGAATATTAATCAAAACTTTCTTCTTTTTGTTTTTGATGGATGCTGAAGTCTCTCCTGAAAACTGAATCACCATGTCTGTCTCTTTTATTAGGCTGTTATTTTCCCCCTCCACAATATTTGCTTACTTTAGTACCTCCAGCATGTGACTTGAATAATTCAGACTMGCTTTGTGTCATCAAAGTGAATGAAACATGAGTAAAAATGATGAGTGTTACTCGCCCCACTCCCTGAAGTGTCATCAAATCCACTAACTCAAGTGTTATATGTGACAGCAACAACGTGTAGCAGAAAATCAATGATAAATCTTCTTGTTGTGCTCTGTTTAACATTTGTCTTTCTCCACATCCAACGTTGCACTGACGACGGGATATTGACAGGAAATTAACGTTCTTAATTTATTTTTAGCATCTTTAATAACACTTATTTGTAGGTATAATGTTTTTCTTTTTTCAGATCATATTTCCAAATAAACACTGCACACATTTCACCATTTAGAGGACTTTTACTTCGTTTTATATGTATAAAGTGAAACACTTTCATCCACATGGAAAAAATTCTCAACATAAAACAATTTTACTTGAAGAGATGTTCTAATAGGAGCAAACCAGCTGATCTTTTATGTATAGGAAGGATGAGATGCATCTGTTATAAAACAAAGATGAGAAACCTGGATGCAGTTAGTGAGGACAGAGGATGCAGAGGATGCAGAGGATGCAGGGGACAAGGGAGGAGGAGGATGACTCGCTGGTGATGATGACCCCTGAAGGGGGGAACAGTGGAAAAGAAGAAAAAAAATATTCAAGGGTTTTTTTCAGGTTTTAAATGTATTTTTTCTTTAAAAACGTAATAGTAAAGATCTATTTGTTGTAAAGCTAGTTTTTAAAAAAATCTGCATTTTTTTTCTATTGACACAAAAACAAGAAAATGTTCATTATAATATGTTTTGTGTAGGCCAGATTTTTTTGTCAGTTTGTTTGTTTGTTTTTTCATGGTCTGAGTTTAAACTTATGAACGTGCTTCATCATTTTACATCAATAGATGGCAGCAAACATCTCAAATCAGTCAATCATCGAGTTGCTCAAGAATTATTGAGCATTCACGCGCACAGGATTCAAATTTCAGCGTTTTCCTTTTTTATTAATTTTTTTCCTTAAGTTTGTATTCATTTTAAAAAGGGGGAAAAGCTGCCTTACATCACTTCTCACAGAGCATGACGCACAGACATGGACTTGCACCTGTTGCTCAAAATGAACTAATAGAGCCTCGTAAATGTGCTTTATTCAAGTTCTCACAGAACTTGACAKTTATGTAAATAAATAAATAAAAATACTCTTAATAATTTCATTTCTAGACTTGAGGAATTTAAAGTGTATTTCTGCTTGTTTCAGGCTCAAATGCGTAAACGGTTTAATAAACATGTACTTTATTGGGATTCCGGTGCAGAATTAAAATAAAAATAAAAATAAAATACGGCGTTTTATCAAAACAAAAACCGTCCACTAAGTCATACTGAACTTCACTGAATGGGAGAGCAGAGAGCCTCCAAACTTCACAGGCCCGTCCCCGGTGGGCGTGCGTAACGGCCACAGCCCYTCTGTAAATATAACTCCCCTTCAAAACAGAAGGAGAAAAAAGAGAGGAGGGAATTCTTGCCTAATCAAAAGCAACCTGAAAAGTGATCAAGGAAGATTTTTTTTCCCCTTCCCGGATATACCGCGTCTCTTAGACGGTTTTGATCCATTTTGTGGCCCCGGGTGGTGCTGGTGAAGCGCGCAGCAGGGGAGGCGCATTGTTTGCATGCAAACTGGACGACATGGCCATTGTGTGCGTTTAGGCATATATGGAGCCGCCGTTGGCTCGGAGGACACAGCCCATCTGAAGTCTCAGGGAGAGTTATCCTCGGCTGTTTCCTGCCAGTTTCTCTCCTCTGACTCTGTTTCCTTCCACACTGATCGGCTCTGTCGCTATGAGTTGTTTGGATGTGATGTACCACCAAAGCTATGGAGCGCCCTACCTCCCCGCAGCGGCGTACAAGGCGACGCACTGCAACCACCAGCAACAGGTGAGACAACCAGAACTTTTGACTTATCGTCATCTTAGCTCAAATTAAGAAAAAAAATGGTATGATTAAAAAAAAATAGCATCCCATTGGCTACTAAAATGTGTTTTAAAAGGCACAGCTATTTAATTTATTTGATTACTTTATTTATTTATTTTAAATACTGGACAGGTCCAAGCTTCAGTTTCACTTTTGAATAATGAAATTCCAATCTAGAGCTCAGTATTCACCTCAGGTCAGGCGTAATGACACTGAGCGATTAATCGTGTGGTCAAATAGTGATGTACTGACAGCCAGTCAGTCACACAGGAATGTGCATCACAGCAAGACAAACAGTTGGAATGCAGCCTGAGAAAAAAGAAAGGTATTTTCACACAGTTTCTCACGGAAGGTTTCATTAAACAGGCACTTTCCTAAATATGCAYGTTGGATGTGAGTGAGTGCATGTTCGACAAGCGCTGTCTGAATTATTTACCCATCATTCTTTCGATTCATATCTGACAGCTTCTTCTTTAATGTGTTCCTCCAGAAGAAGCTGAACGTTTATGGTAAGAYGCAGGAGTGCATGGAGCAGCAACTGCAAGGAGGAGGGAAAGGAATGCTGCCCCGGGATCAGGGYTCTGCTGCAACAGGTGCTGAATCGGGGCGTAGAGCCTCGTCGGTTTCAGAGCTGAAGGACGGCGCTCAGCCCGCCGAGGCCGAATACTTGAGCTCAAGCTGCGTGCTGTTCACCTACTTTAAAGGCGACATCGGGGATGTGGTGGACGAGCATTTCTCTCGTGCTCTCAGCCAGGCCAGCGTCTTCGCCAGCGAGGCCAAGCCGATCAGAGTGACTCAGCCATCTGCTTCAAACGTATGGAAAGGTAAGAAGGGCGGGAGATCTGTTCAGGTCAGAATCTGCAGATGGATTTGTTTTAAATCGCTGTAACTGTTTCAGATGGTGGTTCCCTCTCTGAAGGTCAGAGCAGCTCAGCTTGGAACGGCGCCTTTCCATCACAGGCCAGCCCCAGCCTCCCTTCCGTTTCTGTCTCGGTCCACCCGGAGTTCTCCTCCAGCCCCGTTTCCTTCAGCCACCCAGACGGAGCCCTGTGGGCCGGGCACAGGATCTCCCAGGCCGGCATCCCACCCGCCGCCACCCTGCCCGACAGCTGGACCTACAGCCTGAGCCCCCAGAGCCCGAGCAGCTACTCCCACGACGTCTACCATCCTCACCCGCGCGCCCACCCCCACCTCCACGCGAGACACCACCACTCCATGCTGCACCCATACCCGGCCCACAGCCCGGTGCTGGATCCCAGGTTCAACGCGTTGCTGTTGCCCGGAGTCAGAAGTCAAAGCCAGGTCCCAGGAAGCACAGGAAGCTCCCCGCTCAGCGAGGGGGGCAAAACAGAGATGGATCTCAGCAGCAGCAGCCCCGTCACAGCGACCCCTGTCCCCTGGACCCCTCCGGCACTGCATGGATCTTTGGAGGTCTATGACTCAGGTATGACAGATGACTAACGTTTCTAGCAGTTAYGAAAACATAAAAACTTCAGTTCTTTTTTTTATTATTATTGTTGTTTTGCAGCAATTGACCAGACCAAAGCAAAGACATCAGTTTGGTTCTAACTGGTGAACTCAAGGCAGAATATCAGCTCATACCAAAAAGGACTTTTTTATGAAACTTTAATAATGTATGGCTGAATGTCAGCACTGTATTGAAAAAAAAAACTTTAGACATAGTATGCTAACTGTAGCTTGGTCCATGTTTCCTCRTGATCATTACAGAAATGAACTCAGGCTTGGACTTTTAGGGTAGTGATGCGTTGACTTCCTGTTAAAACCCTGAACAGACTACTAGCTTTAAAAATAAACAACTTTTTTTTTGGATGGCACATTTTTTTTCTCTCTCTCATTGTGAGACAAAGCGGTTCTGTTTAAAGAGCTTGACTTTGATCCACAGTTTGTTTTGTACAGTAAATGTTTGTTATTTACAGTAAATTGTCTGCTGTTTGTGTTTTATTACGTCAAACTGTTGTTTTGCTAAAACGATTTTTCGCTAAAATGCTGCCTGTCCCATTTCGCCTTCGGGAAAAGCTTTGTGTAAATCCTGTTGCTGTATGTTGAAGAAATAAATTAATTAAAAACCTTTGTGGCAATTGCATATTTTTAATCTCTAAACTCCTACAAAAATCCTTGAAGAAATTATGCAAACAGTTCCAGTTCCTATAATTAGCAGTCGCAGAAATAGCAAAAATAGACAATAATGTTTTTGCTCATCTGTTATTGTGTTTGTTACCAAAACATCTCATGAACCACTGGATGAATTCAACGAAATGTGCAGACAGCAATTATTTCACTTACAAGTAACTTTTGGAATCAAGCAAATTCAAGATGGCTGCCACAACCAATTGACTTTAAAGAACACAAAAATTGTTATAATTTAGTCATTTTATGAATAAAACTTGACGTGGCTGTATTCTGAGTGTGATGTTTCATAATATCGTATGAGATTCTGCATGATAATATATTCGATGTTTGAGCAAAACCTAAACAACTTTGCCATTTTTATAAGAAAACAGTTTAAATGTCCAGCCTGTAAGGTAGCAGGTGAAGTCCATTTCTATGTTGAATGCTACCGATTTTATTTTCACTGTTATGATGCATTGAATCCTCATTTCATCCCTCACACAAAACACTCAAATAAATGCATTTCCTGTCTGGACAGGAAGTATGTGAGGCAGTGGCACATTTTAATAAAGACAAAAAAAAAAAAAAAAAAACAGGATTCAGGTGTTAAAGTCTGTTTTGGTTTCATAATAAAAACAAATTTAGTCAAATATCTTGACTCTTAAAGTGCATATTTTGTTATTTGTGCCAGGATCAACTTCATATTTATTAGTTTCACTTAACCATCAGTSAGGGAGACTTGTTTATGCATGCCATTGTGCTTCAAAAAACAACTCCCCATAATGTGAATCAGTACATCTCAGTGAAGAAATTTAGTCTGAGGTCCGTTTTAGGATTGGATTAGGTCCCTAAAAAATGAATTCAATTTAATAAAAGCTTCCTGATTGTGTGTAAACATGACTGTGTGTGTTTGTGTGTGTGTGTGTTTTCATTGAGTGGTTGGACCAGGTGGTGTGATCAGCAGCACAAGCCCACTTACATTCCAGCCACAACTCCCACGTATATCTCATTCTCCATCTCGACTAAACAGCAGGACATTAAATCTGGAACACAGCAGCTGCATGTCCAGACGGAGAATCAACAAATTATGATGCACACACACACACACACACACATGCACACACACACACAAAAAACTTAATCGAAAAGAGAAATTGAAGAGAATAAGACTATTTATTTTCAATACTGGCAATATGTTTTTATTATTAAAGTATACACATTTATATTTTATGGACTTGTTGTATGTGAGGGCTGAAGATCCAAACACTCAGTTTGGAGAATCGACATGTTTTAATGAAGGATTCAAGCTAACAGATATCTGGAACAGGGTCCATTCAGGTGTTAAAACTGCAGCCGGCTTATAGAAAGTAAATCAAGTGAAAAATGTAGGGCAGAGATTCAGTGTTTTCTCACAATAACATGGCATTTTAAATGTGTAGTTGTAGTAGATCAAATATAAAAAACATGTAAAATAATACACTGCGCACTTGAGCTAATCATTTTGTCAAGAAAATTTAGTTGCACTTCAGTCACTGAGAATCTGTAATCAACACAATTGATATACTTTTTCATCAAGTAGATAGTCATACCATGAGCTTGGAACATTTGAACACTTTAGCACAATCTGCTACATTTCTTAGATAGATGTTCACTAAATAACTGGAACTTTCTCCACTTGGTGGGTGTTGGCCTTTAAATTTAGCCTTTGCTGCATTTCATAGAATTTGACCTTTTCCTTTCCYGTTTGTTGCAAACATGAAGGAGGTCAGATTGTAAAGTTACTTTGAAAATGGTCATATTGCTTCCAGTTTCACAGGAAATCATGGCAGTTTGCATTAGAATAAACAATGCTGGACTCAAAAACATCATTTTGGCCAATATTTAGCTTTTTTAACCTAAATGTGAGGAAAAATGCAGCATAACAATATTTAATGTAGGAATGCTCATGCAAAAATGTAATAAACTGTAATGTAAAATTTGAAAATGAGCAAATCTTATACATATGTATA